TAATAAAACAATTTCTTACTAAAAGCATCTCCAACTCGTTTTATTTTTATTTTTATAATAGTATTGATAACCAAATTTATTTAATCTATTTTTCTTCCTTTTGTCTAAAATAGAATTGATATTTTATTTCTTCTCGTTACTAAAGGAAGGAAATTAATCTATTTTTACTATAAATATTCTATATAATATCATAACATTTCTCTATGTTTTTAAAGTAACTAGCAAAACTATATTAGAAATGGTCTAATGCTTACAGCAACATAGCTTTTCGTCACGACACTCATGAATTTAATAATATTTAACTTTGGGACAAACATCTTCTAGCTAATCATAGCCATGTGTTGAATACGCGTTTTTAAAGTTATAGACACCTCTCTACATATTTTTTTAGATATTTATATAAATAATTATATCAGAAGAAAATAATTTTAATATAAAGGGAAAGTAATCTTGATTTAGAATTAAATTTAGCCAACCTATAAATATCACCCTTTACTTTTATTTGTTTATTATTCCAAAAACTGTCAACCAAAGCATGCTTTGCTAGTTTCTTGTTCATTGCACTTTAGAATCTTCTCTTGAATAAAACAAAATTAAAAAAAGAAGAAGCTATTTTCTTCTTAACATATTCTCTGTAAATTTCCATTCCACATACATTTCCAGTTACAAAGGCAAAGAGGGTTTTTGTTTGTTTGTTAAAGATTTCTATTTACAAGTACAACAAAAACTTACAAATCCTTAAGGTTCACCAGTCTGGCAAGAGTAGTAGGCAGGATACCTGTAAACTGATTAGACCCAAGGTTCCTGCAATATCAAGATTCAGAAAATACCAAAATTACATTTTTCCTCTTCCCATAAAACCAAAGCTTCTTGTAATTTGGAAAAAAAAGGTTACATACAAAAGGGTCTTACAATCTTGTTAGGCTGGTCAAGTTACCAATCTCATCAGGTATCGGACCAGAGAACTGGTTTGCTTCAACCGCTCTGAAATTTAGTCACATTATTCTACTGTCAGACTAGTGATTAAAGGACAGAGACCTACATGTATGTAGCAATAATTAGACACGTACAGGACTGTCAGATTCTTGAAGTTTTGTAAACCAGCTGGTAAAGGCCCAGATAGATTATTTGCGCCGATGTGGCTGAGAGAGAAAAGTCATAGTTAGTGGCAAATCATGAAATATGAAGCATTTGAGAGAGGGAGAGAGAGAGAGAACATGGAAGTGAGATATGGCATTGAAGCCCACTCCATTGGGAATGTGCCCGAAAGATAATTTCGAACCAGGTGTCTGCAAAAAAGACAACAAACTTTTCTCATCGCTTGAAAAGTTCTTCCGAGAAACCAAAGTTTCTTATTATATATAAACATAACAAACGAAAACGTGTTGCTAACTTTAACCTCAAACTAAGAATTGATTTGGTTACTAATACTCACATCAACCGGAGATGCTGAAGTTTGACCAACTCTGGTGGAAGTTTTCCGGGAAGACTGAGGGTCTTGAGCGTTCTGATAGATAGCCACACGAATCTTTGGTTTTATGGAGAGACATTAGAAAATAAGAGATGTACGTACGGTTGCAGAACAAGACTCACAACTCTGTAATATGGCATGTATTGTTGATACTACAATCACAAACAATGATGTTCTCACTCCCTGGTTCCTGAGCAACATCAATCTTTAGCTTTTTTATTTCGCAAGGGTCTCCATAGCCTAGGTTTAATTTCGTGATACCCAGTGTCGAAGCTATCTCTTCAAGTGCTTTTACTGTATAATACTCAAGAAGATAATATATAAAAAGATACAGATTATGACACTGATTTTACAAAGACGTTTATAAAATGCTGATTTTCCTCATACATTCATCTGGATGAAGAAGAGGAGCTGGTGAAGCCACCGATGTTCTTAGAACTGCAAGGAAGCTTGTAGTGATGGTGAAGAACAAAATAAAACTTGAGAAGATGATCGACATATGTATATCTCTTGATTATATATAGCGATTCTTTGCATGTGTATTTTGGTAAATCACAACATTATCATCACGTAGTTATCCTTATATCATATAGGGAAAAGCGTGGTTGATAATTTTCCTTTTACGGGTTTTTGGGTCGTCGGGAGAATATACAAGAGATATATATACTGACAAAAATTAATCAACAATGTTAACTCAAAGTAATAATAGAGGATAGTGTGGTCCATGAATGCGCACTATAGAACAATAGAATAAGTTATGATTCTATTATCTACGAAGTGGTATTTTGCCTATGAAATTTCTTATTAAAAGTTAGAATGATTTTTTGTCCAGAAAAAAAAGTTATAATGATTTAAGTGATTGATACTTTTAATAAACAATTAAATTTATTTATTGAAAATAGAGTACAAGTTGCAAGTACTTTTTGACGTCAAAAAACAAATCCATTAATTAAACTAGATGTGGTTTCAGAAATCATATTAATATAGAACAACCAATATAAAAAATATTTGTAGGCAAAGATTTTGAAGGTCTATCTAAAAAATCAGAGATTGCATTTTATCTTCATGAAATATAAATTTTTTGAAAGAATTGCCTTCCGTCACGAAAAAAATCAGAGATTACATTTTATCTTCATGGAATATAGAAATTTTAAAAGAATTGTCTTGAAAAAAATCATAGATTGCATTTATCTTCATGAAATATAGAAATTTTGAAAGAATTGTTTTCTATATATCTATATTCTATTAAAAATAAATCATGACCGATTGATATTATTAATTTTCACATTTTAGTAATATACCGCAAATAAATGTATGCATACATTCGATGCTACTTTTTAATAATATTCTCTACTTTTTGTCCTTAATTATTGGACCATTTCTCATAAAATACTTATATATACGGGTGGCAATTATGCTTTAAAATAAGTCATGCATTTTTTAGTTTTTTCTGCATATTTGTATGGCTAAAATATATTTACCATACTTGTTTTACATAGACTCTTATAATACAAACTATTATTTAATTCTGTTACATTACATACGTAGTCATAATTGATAAAACCAAATATAATAGTGACGATGAATTAGACATTCGGTATAAGAAAAAGCATTATTCATGTTAACGGACATTATTATTATTTTTCATTCCTAACAGTTAAACATTTTATATGTAGTAACTAAGAAATTATTAAAACACAATATTAAAAAAATTAAGGTGGATACACACACACACTCCCGAGCTATATAATACAGTTCAACATCATCATTGCATATCTTTGAATAATTTATCTAGGATAAAACAAAAGAAAAAAAAAAATAACCCAAATAAACTGTTGCTATATTCTATTAATAATTACTTCAATCAAAATATTTTAAAAATTGTATATATAATGTAACCGTATTCTATTTGATACCTAATTATATGGTCAATATTTAATTGAAATTCTGAGTATATTTTTAATCTGCAAGTGATATTATGATGGAAGTATTATTTATTCTAATATATTTTATGGATTTTAGTTTAATGAGTTTTATATAGGTTATTCAATTAAAAATATTGATAAATATGATTTTATTTAAAGCTAATGAAACCTATATTAACCCATTTACATACATATATATTTATTTAACAGAATATACTTAAACTTATTTTTCAAACAATTTTCAAACATATTTTCAAACATTTTGATCGATTTTCATTGCAGGTTTGATTTGATATTGGTTTTTGGATATAACAAGAACCGTTTGAGTATACAGGTCAGATCTAATAGAGTTTGATACTTTGATTTTCAGGTTGATTTCGAATCGGGTTTTTCGAATACGAATATTCTTGACTAATTATGTTAGGTAACTAATAACTATTGAAAAATATAGTATTGCAAACTTAGGAATAAATTTTAAAAATAATTTCTGAAATGCGTATGGCATACTTGTGTAGTTATGTAACTTGACATATTAAATATATTTTCGTAACATTTATTAAATTAAATTAATATTAAACACAAATATGATAAGAAAAATAAGAAAAATATAAAAATTAATTTTTTTGAAAAAAACAAAAAAGACAAAAAATATACCCACCCTTTTAAAGGACGGGTTAGAATCTAGTCATGTATTATATCATACTCATCATTTTGCTATGGTTATGGGGTGAATTAATGTTTTTATGATTATTAGTTGCAAATACCCTAAAAGAAAATAATAAGTAAACAAGAGGAAAATGAAGAAAAGTATTTTTGACTAAAAAGAAAAGGAAGAAAAGTATTGAAAAATTTCTCATATCTATAGTGATATTTTTTGGAACAAAACATATACATGTATACTAGATTCAGATCTGCGCACATGTATGAGATTTTTCATTAATCTATTCTAAAGTTTCAGATTACCATATGTAGTTAACCACTTTTTGTTATATATAAAATATAATTAATATTTATCTTAATTCTTTTTACATATTAGTGTTATACACTTTTCTTTCTATATATCTTAATTATAAATATCTAGTTAAATTTTGTAGAGATTTATTAAATTACAATAGTCGACATTTTCTTTTATGAAAATTGTTGAAACCTATAAATTATTAAGGAAAAAAGTCTAGTTTTTTTTTATTAATATTGAAGTATTCCGAATCTATAGAAGAGCCCAAAATAACAGGCAATTAGATTTAGAATTAGATTAAACGGGCTGAACCGAAATACCACTTCTTCCATTAGAGACAAGGTTAGTATCAAAAGTTATTAAAAGACTTTTGTTTTCTAAAGTATCAGTTTTAGATTCGGTTAAATGATCATTGGGTTACTTTTCTTTTGTGTCTTTTGCATGCCATTCGAGTCTATTCAATGGAGAGAAAAAAGAGAGTTTAGTTCAGCGAGCACTAGAGAGTTTCATAAGACCATATTATTCCATTTAACAAACACTCATAAAGATCTATGACAATATAATGTTTCAGACATCTTTACTGATATAGGACAACTTACAAGCCTTTTGTCTCTCATAAGAGACAAGGCAATGCAAACAGCGACTGATGTTAGAATGCCGAGGAAGAAAATATCATGGATTCAGGGTATAATGGGTAGAGATCAGTACTAGAAACAGAGGATTTCATTGTCGTTGTTGTTTGATCAGTCAAACCAGACGTGCTCGAGCTACCTTGTGTATCAGTTCCCCTCAGCTTTGAGATGCCCAAGTTGTGTTCATATAAACCAGGATCTGATAGAACCTGTGTTATTTCCATCTCTCCCTCGAGCATTTGCACAACCTCTGACATTGTTGGCCTTAACAATGGAGATGAGTTTGTGCAAATAAGAGCAACTTTGATCATCCTCTCTGCTTCTTTGCTGTTGAACTCATCTTCGAGCACTGGATCAATGATATCGACTGTGTCCCCTGTTTGTTGCAGCTTCCACGCCTGAGATTTCATGTCAAAAACGGTTTAAGTAAACTTAACAGAAATATACAAAGCCATCGTGATCAATTAAGCTAACGAGAAAAAAAAAAAAATCCACTGGTACCCAATTGATAAGCCAGACGTGATCAGCACTTCCCTTTTGTTTCTTATTACTCTTTCCACTAACAATCTCCATTGCAACAATCCCAAAGCTGAACACGTCTGCTTTCTCGGTTAATTCACCATATAATGCATATTCCGGAGCCATATATCCACTGCATATAGTCACGATTGAGATATATATATATATAGATCAATGGCTAGAGTGCACTTTTTTGTTTTGTTTTATAAATATAGTCTTACATTGTTCCTACAATTTTGGTGCTAACTTGAGTTTCTTCTTCTTCATGGAGCCTAGCCAATCCAAAGTCAGATATCTTTGCATTAAGGTCGGCGTCTAGAAGCACGTTACTGGTTTTAATGTCACGGTGAACCATCCTTATCATCGATCCTTCATGAAGGAATTCAAGCCCTCTTGCGATTCCAACACAAATTTTCTGTCTTGCTGCCCAGTCCAATTTTGGAGCGCTCTTTTCTGGAATTAGAATAGTAAACCAATGAAAAAACTACATGTGGTAACATGTATGTATTCACAAAAAAAAAGATGAATGACTATTATTTACCATAGAGAGCAAGAGCAAGGGAGTTATTTTCCATGTACTCATACACAAGTAACAGTTCATTCTTCTCCACGCAGCATCCATAAAGCTTGACAAGATTTGGATGATTCAGACCTGAGATCATGCCTATCTCATTCACAAACTCTCGGTTTCCTTGGCATGATTTGGCAGAAAGCTGTTTGACTGCTATGATAGTTCCATCTGACATTTCTCCCTGCATTAGGTTTCTCATATAAACAAAAACCATCCATTTTTCTATATATATATTTGAGAAAAACTTGACATTTTTTTAGCATACTTTGAATACGGATCCGAAACCTCCTTCTCCAAGTTTGTTTGCTTCATCAAAATTGTTTGTAGCAGCTTGGAGTTGCCTCCATGTAAAACAAACAGTTTGCAGACTTTGGGCTCTCAAATCTATGTTTTCAAGTAATGGATAAAACGAACCAGTTATGTAAATGGAGCCAATTCATACAATGTGAACTATATTACCTCGTTCTCTTGTGTTCTTGTCTCCCCTGCATCTTTTATGATAGTATAATCCCAAAGCCAGGAGCATAACTGCTAACAAGGTACCCATTATCCCGAAAATTAATGGATACTTACTGTGATGTTTTGTATTCTCCGCTGCAAATGAGACATTAAAATTGTAAATATATATACTACATGATGCATCATATAAGTAGCAAGCTACATAAATATATTTTAAGAAAGTAATGTTTTTATCTTTAGACCTCCACATTCTGGCCCCAAACCTAAAATTTTGAAAGATGAATATTCTCATTATAGGTGACAGGAACCAATACACAAAAAAAAAATCAATAGGATAAGGAGTTTCATAGGTACTAACTGCTGTGACACAAGGAGATGGCAGAGATAATAGGACCATAGTTCCCTCTTAGGGGAATGATAATTGTCCCCTTCCCTGCCCAATACAACCGAATCTCTAACAAATGATTAGTTACATTCACGTTAGCTTCTTTCACAATAGGCTTTCGAGTTCCGTTAGCCTCTTCTTTGATGTTAAAATCCCTCCTGAACAATTCTCCCTAACAATAGATAAACGGATATAAGAAAATGTAAACTTCAAGAACAATTACTCACTTAGCAGTGACTCTTTTACCTGAAGATAGATATCAAATATGCGTCTGCCGAGTCGATTGTAGGGTTCTTCATTGGAAAACTGAAGCTCCATAAAATGGAGTTTCACATTGTAGGCTCCATTTTCCAAGCAAAACGCATAATAAACTAGAGATTGAGCAGCTTGACGTGCGGACTTATAGAAAGCAGGAGAATTCTCGGATGGTGTAAACGTAGGTGTAATGATGTAATTATTATTAGGCAAGTAACCTGTGCTACTTATTCCCCAGTTTTCAAAGTGCTGATTTGTTGCGGCTTTGGTTTTATTGTTATCAGCTTGATAAGTGATTTTATGAGAAGAGGTTGTAATAACTACGTTGTCTCCGCCACAATTTATATGTAGAGACCGTTGATCTACATTTGAACAATTATCACCATTAACAGAAGTATTAGAGACAGAACCTATCTGCCTCTGTCCTGAACTTTCTTATTTTACATAAGGAAGGAAAAAAACTATCGGCCCTTTTGAACTTATCAGAAAAAAGGAAAAAAATGAAACTGTGTTTTTTGCATTAACGAAAAATATTTTCCAGAAAGAACATACTTACATATTGGTGAACTAAAAATAGCAATATTTGATGGACTTATAATTAAGGGTACATAACAAATACTCCATCCGTTTCATTTTAATTGTCATTCTAAGGTTTTACACACAGATTAAGGAAACATTTAATTTTACATATTTCCAAGATAAAAACACAATTACCTATAAACCTAACCACTTTTCAACCAATAGAAAAATAGAATATTATATAAAACTAATAAATTTTGCCTCGAAACTCTAAAACGACACTTATTTTGAAACAAAATTTTTTCTCTAGAATGACAATTATTTCGAAACGGAGGGAGTATCCAAGATCTTAAAAGAGTGTTTTTATTATTTGATGCTTCTTATGTTTTATAAAGAGTATCAGTTTAGGTTTATTTTTATTTTTTTCAAAAAGAGTGTTATTATACATTTCCAATGTAACATTTTTTATTTATTTTAGTTAAGAAATATAATTAAGCTAGAAAAGAATGTTCTCTATAAAACATTTAAATATATAATGTGTTAAAAGTTGCTCTTACATTTGCACTTTATTGGACTAGCACACGGTAGAAGTCCAGTTCTGTTGGAAAAGAAGATGAGATTACAAGAATAGTATTGAGGCATCTCATTAGCAGGAGATATTCAAATAATTTTTGTTCTGTATGCAAAAGCAAGAGATTGCTAAGTTTTCAATTCTTGTTGTTCCATTGTTGGATTATAAAGAAGAGGAGTGTACTTACAACTTTTTCTGCAAATATGAGCTCCGGTATGAATTAATGTTACTGATTCAACAGAAAATGAGAACATAAACTTCAACAAAGTAGGTTATAAGCAAAGTAGATCATCTACCATAAATTTCATGTTCATACCTCTTGTCCGGGCAGCTAGGTGGATATGAGAAATTGTTATAAGAGAGATCACTTTGAAGATTTAACAAATATACAAAACCAAGAAGATAATTAGCTGACACAAACATATATTTCTCTGAGTCATACAAACAAGTGAAGGCCTGAAACTTACATGTAAGATTCATTGTTGAAGAAGGCATCAGATCCAACTTTTCCGGAAAGCATGTTGTCATTCAAATAGCTAAAAGAACATGTTGAAACAATTAATATATTATTCGAGGGTGATTCTGAGGTATGATCATACTAAAAGGTCTTCAACCCTTTAAAACTCTTGGTCCCAACCAATCTAGAAACGTTTTTAGTTGGAGATAAAATACTAAAAGTAACAAAAAGCAATCTAAAGCTGTGGCACTTTTAATGTTAGTTACAATTTAAGCAAATTAACATAGGCTATATAAGCAAAAGAAAATACAGTGTAGGGGGGGGGGGGACACATGCCCTTTGCCCTACACGTCCAGGGCCCCTAGTCTCAGTTTGTAGTACTTACGTATATTGGGGTACTTTTCCTAGTAATTCAACTTCACCAGTCAACTTGTTGAATGATACATCACTGCAGCAAACAACATGTTAAATATTGTAATTAACCAGGTCAAAATGTCAATCAGTTGATTTTTCAACATGTAATGTGTAACAATACTTTTCCAAAAAGATCCAGACAAATCATAATATCAGTTAATCAGTTGGATTTCGACAATAATAACATCATGTTAGAATTGCTTTCTCCTTAATTCCAAAGGTTAAGAAAAAGACATATAATGAGAAGACGAAGAAAAGGATTATATAATAACATATAGAGAATAATGTATAGAATACATATAGAGAAGAAATGTGTACACATCAAGTCATATGCAAACTTCTCAGCAGAAAAAAAATGTGGAGCATATATATTGTAAATACCATTTATAAATATGCTTCTTCCTCCCATATAGAACATATTATACAAGCTAGAGTTTAAAACTTACAAGTTCGTCACACATAAAAAAAAAAACTTACAGAGTCTTTAGGGCTGGCATAGACCAGACATAAGAAGGGATTTGACCAGACATACTCAAGTTCCTCAAAATCCTGAACAAGACAACGACTCAAGTTTGAGAGTTACAATATAATCAAATATCATGATAAGAGGTAGAAAATTAATTACAGGGTGTTCATAGTAGATTTGCTTGATAGATTGGGAAAGGAGTTGATCCCAGCCATATCACTAATTCTCCTGCATATGATGAACAACATCACTTAAAACACCAGTCTTATTTCAATGGTCGTTTTGTTAATCTTTTGAAGGAGAAATTACAGATCAACAAGATTTTCTAGGCGGGCAAGTGCGTCAGGAATAGGTCCTTTCAGTCCGCTTGCAAATAGATGTCTGTTGATCATAAAAAACTCAACGAACGTGACAGGGTAGCCGGTGCAGACACACAAACTTTAAAAGCAACTACATTTATTGGTTCCTCTTAAAAAAAAAACTACAGCTATTGGTTAAAGACACGCTTACATTTTCTCAAGCCGAAACCAGTCGCCAATAAAGCCTGGGATGGTGCCATTGAATTTATTGTCACTTATCCGACTGCGTAGTGAAGAGAAAACTAGTTTAGAGCTCAGTAAAAGTTTTTTTGGCGGGTAAAATGTTAAGCCAGCTCTGTTAAAATTATCTGCTGAAATGTTTTATAAGTTTTCTTGAGCTTTTCTTCCTCAGTGTAAAATCAAGTCATAACCAAACAATTCATCTTACCTAGAAACAAAGCATATAAAGAGTTTAGCCTAGTAATAATGTAAAATCGCGGAATTACAAAAATATATAGTTAATGTGCATACTAATTTAAAATTTTCATGCTAAAACAAGTTTTCTCTATATTTATAAATTACTTTATATATTATAAGCATTATAAATATGAATGCTAAAACTATTATAAGAAATAATAAAATGAAATAAACTAATATATTTCCTAAAAAATGTTTTATTATAACTATTTCACGTATGTTCAATATATTATAATTACATATTAGCTTTTAATCTATAAAAAATCAAATCATCGTGTAATTTTATTTATTATATACCTGTTTTATAATTTAAAAAAAAAACTATTAGTATTTTGAACAAAAAAAACTATAACGATTTATTCTTTTTTAGAGTTTAAATTATTTATTCTTTTTTTTATTAGTAAAATATTTGCAGAATCACGTATTTGTACTGAGCTTACCAATGGAAGCTTTAGATAAGTTCAAAGAAATAAGTTCAACAGGAAAGCTTTGAACTCAAACCTTATGGAAAAATATGTCCCTTTCCTCATAAAGTTGTACGAATTTACTAATATGTAAGTAATCAAAGATGAGCATTTCCGGTAACAAAGACAAAAAAAAACTTAATTTTGTTGTTTGCAAAATTTCTATTCACAAGTACAGAAAAATAACTTACAAATCCTTGAGATTCACCAGTCTGGCAAGAGTGGTAGGCAGGCTACTTGTAAATTGATTCGACCCAAGTTGCCTGCAATATCCAGTTTCAGAAAGCATTACAGCTTCTTATTCCAATAAAACCAAAAGATTATTGTAATTATGGATAATGGTTAAGACGCCAAAAGGTCTTACAATACTCTTAGGCTTGTCATGTTACCAAGCTCATCAGGAATAGGACCAGAGAACTGGTTCGCTTCAATCCCTCTGAAAATTTAGTCGCACTAATTACTATAATATCAGAGTTGTGACTAAAATGATCCCTACATGCATGTATGGGAACAAAACAGAGACGTACAGGAATTCCAGCTTCTTGAAGTTTTGTAAACCCGTTGGTAAAGGCCCTGACAGATTATTGGCGCAGACCGCGCTGAGAGAAAAGTCAAAATTAGTTGTAAATCATCAATATGATGCACTGGACATGTAGAGAGCTAACATGGAAGTGAGTTCTAGCATTGAAGCCCACTCCATTGGGATTGATCCCGAAAGATAATTACGGCAAAAGTCTCTGCAAAGAAGAGAAAAAACTCACTATAAACTTTTCTCATAGCTTGAACCAAGTGTTCTTATCTTAATAAAAAATAAGTAACGAGGATGTCTTGCAGATTGAAACCTCAAACTAAAAATTGATTTGGTAAAACTCACATCGATCTGAGATACTTAAGTTTGACCAACTCTGGTGGAAGTTTCCCGGGAAGACCGAGAGTCTTGAGCGTTCTGATAGCCACACGAATCATTGGTTTTATGGAAAGAACGAAACAAAAGACGTAGGGTTGAAGGAAAAGACTCACAAATCTGTAATATGGCATATATTGTTGAGACGACATTCACAAACAATGATGTTCTCACTCCCTGGATCCTGAGCAACATCAATCTTTAGTCTTTTTAGATCACAAGGGTCTCCATTGCCTAAGTTCAGTTTTGTGATTCCAAGTGTAGTAGCCATCTCTTCAAGCGCTTTTACTGCATAATACTCAAAAGAAAAATTATTGACTATATGTAATATAAATATATGGATTATGACACTTATTTTAGGAAGACATTCATTTCTTTCATACATTCATCTGGGTGAAGAAGAGCTGGTGAAGCCGCTGCTGTTATTTGAGCTGCGAGGAAGCAAAACAAAATAAAACTTGAGAATACGATCGACATATCCATATCAAGCATGTATGTGTCTTTTTTTGTTTAATCCCAGTGTTATCATTAGATAGGGATACAATAGTTCCTTTTATAGTATACGGAAAGAATGGTTGCTATATTTTTTTAATGAGTTTCTTGGTCGCTGGAGATTAAACAATAGTAGGATGAATAGTGTCAAAAAATTAATCAATAATGCTAACTTCCAAGTTATAATTAATGGTAACAGAGAAATGACTGAATGCTTGATGTTGCATGTCTCCTTAGTAATGTTTTTGTTGATTAATTTGGTAGCTCAATAAACGCTGCGGTCTATGGACGCAGTTGACCTAGTATTGGTAGCTCAATAAACACGTGCAGGTATTTTTATTTTATAAAAGTACAACACTGATATTAAAATAAATACTTTAGTGTTAATATTATGTAATTCATTAATCTTACTGTTTAGTTTTTTATTCGACATTATTATCAGGTAATGACTTGTTTTATGCTTAATTTACTTTGTTAGTAATTGTTATTACATATTTATATAATTTTCGAGTTTGATATAATAAATTCATTATTTGAAATAATGAAGTAGGGAAGATTCTTCAATTTTTTTTTTCAAATTCTATAATTTACATACAATAAATTTTCTAAATTTATTTAGTTATACTATAGAAAATATATTTATTTAGGATCATTTATATTTCCATGTTATGTTTAAAAATATGCTTTAGCATATATCATTATAGTATGTTACAGAATTTTATAAGTAAATACATTTTTATGCTTAAGTAACTTAAAATATTTCAAGATATGGTGTGGATTTTTTTGTAACTAATTTAATGCATTATTATATATAAGAAAATATTTTAAAATTTTGGTAAGCTTTTTTATATATTTTTCTCAATAGATTTTGTTATAAAAATTAAATTTAAATTTAAAGTTAAAAATAGTTTGTCATTAATATCTCATAAGATTATGTTCAAGTGGTCTACATATGAGTAGAAAATACTACATATATAGTACTAATCAGTAACCCTTCTTAAATACGACTATTTATACACAAATGCTATATATATTGTCTATATAAGAAATTGTGGAAGATGTGAAGTGTCTTGACTCTTGAGAATGTAATTTGACTAAGCTGGAATTAAGAGTCTACACATGGGGTTTGATTGCTTTTTGAAGCGAGAGAGATGTATTTGTTAATTACAGTCCTGTCTCCCTGATTTTATTTATATACAATATGAAGGAAAAACTTTACAATGACGATTATTCACCCATTTGGTTTTGTTTTTTTTTTTTGTTATAGGACTTATCACCAATTCTGTTCCATTTTAGTATTCTACTTTTATACAACATGGCAAGCCCTGAGATTTCATGATTCTCAAAGCATTATTGTCACCACTCTTTAAAAACCAAGCATAAGCGATTCTAATTTGTAGTTCTTGAGTCCCAATTTGGGGGATGTGGCTTGTTTTGTTAACAAATAAAAACTGGAGGGGTTGAACAGTTGTGCATCAACAATTTTGGTTGAATTTTACATGAAATTTCTTTTGTTGAACACTTGAACTAGTTGGTTATTTTGTTCATATTAATAATCAACCTCTTACAGTTGACTTGTATTTTCCCTTGGATCCAAGAACTAGTTGCAATAAAAATTAGTTTACTCCACTTTAATTTCATCGGTTCTCTCTCGGTATTTTATAATTCTGTGCAAGAGGGTACTAAAGTACTATACGGACTTGAGTCAATTTGGTTCTTTTCTAGGTAAGTCAACTCATCCTTTTAAGTAGAGTATTATAGACAATAGTTTCATAGACAAAGCTAATGCTTAAGTTACATTTTAAGAAAATGAATAAGAAATTTCATTGTTTGTGTACAGATCATTTCGCAAATTCAGCCTATCGAGTGATTTTTTTTTAGTTTTAATAATAGTAAACTGAATGTTCTGAGGTTAAAGATCTCACTGCCTATCTTTTATTTTATGTAAAAGAAAACCGTTTCCTTAGTTATTGGATTTAGATGCTTTAAATGTATGACTGTGAAAGATCACTTTACTATCTTCAGAGTTTTGGTTTTCCACAACCATTTGTGCCCATAACATCATGTACTTCAAATGTTTGGCTTGTTGGTTATGGCGCTTAAACTTGGTGGGTTTATGATAAACCGTATAGCCAATAAACCTACAAATCCTTGAGATTCACCAGTCTGGCAAGAGAGAGTTATACAAGAAGCAATTGATTCTTCTCGACACAACATCCATAAAGCTTGACAAGGTTTGGATGATTCAGACCAGAGATCATTCCTATCTCATTCAAAAACTCTCGGTTTCCTTGGTATGACTTAGCAGAAACCTGTTTGACTGCTATGATAGTTCCATCTGAAAGTTCTCACTGCATTAAGTTTCTTAGGCAAAACCATGATTAACCTCAGTCTCTTAATTGAGATTCTTAGCTTCGACTAAAATAAGTTTCTTAGTTTTTAAACCATCTTTTAAATAAAAGATATAAAAGACGTCTCTTAACCGAAAATATAAAAAAAAGTCAAATCATGAGTTAAGAACTCCAAATAAAAAACCGAAGTTAATCATGCTCTTATATTAGATACCAATAATTTTAGAGGTATTTAAGTTTGACAAGATTGCATCCGTTTTAACTATACAGTAAATTTCTATAAATAAATAATAGTAGAACTAATAATTTTTACAAATTTTTATGTTTATAAAGTTAAAAGATGTTTCATAAAGAAAAGAAAAATAATTGATTTTTCGGTATGTATTGACCAAATTTCCAATTACAAATTTTTATTTTGTTCTTATTTCGATTTGGTGTATAGAAAATATGTACCTGAAATGTGTATGTATGTATTATAGTTTACAAAAAAAAAACTGTATGTATTTTGGTGTAAAATTATATAATAATATTAAATTATTTTAAAGTGCTTAAAAAATTAAAATGGAGTTCAATGAATAAAAAAATTAATACAAATGTTTTGTTTATATTTATACACACAATTATTAATTTATGTTTATATCTGAACCATATATTTATATAACTTTCCAACAATATACTACTTTATCGAATCTTGTCATATTTACACTAATTCAACCCACGACGTATAAAATTATAATTTATATTATACATAATGATATATTATTGAATAATACTAATTTATATTGTTTCTATTATACTTTGAATATAATGAGCATTCTGTCGATTTTGAAGGATATATCTTTCTTTGCACAAGAAAGAAAAGTAAATAATTGTTACCATAGTGTTGATAGCATAATAGTAGTGCAAAGGAGGTTAGTTTTCTTATGCTCTGTTTTATTTTTTTTAAATTTTTTTTTGTGACACCTAAATACTGTCTCCGAAAATAAGGATATTAAGAATTTAAGGTTCGGACCTTCCACTTTTATTAAAAAAAAGCATGTTGTTATCTCCTCTGGTACTAACTCAAGAACAATCTATCACTTTTGAGACTTATCAACTACAACAGCATTCGACCATTGCTAATAATGTCACAGCAACAAAGAAGAAATTATGTCCAGTTTATAGTTGTTTGTCAGCGGTAAAAGCTGCTAATTAATTTTTATACCGAGAAAAGCATAAACACAGAGCAAAACAAAGTGGGAAAAGAGAAGTTGATTAAGTGAACATTTCATAATAAGATATAATTTTGATCTTCACAAAAAGTATGTTTTGGATATACATATATGAAGCTAATGTAAGGTTCCAGACATACTTACAGCTGATATAACCAGACAACTTGACAAGCTTTTCTATTTGACAAATAGACAAGGCAATGCACACAAATTTTGATATTAGTGCGATAAGGAAGAAAACTCTATTGTAGAGTTGAGGTTTATGGATTCGGGGCACAATGGGTAAAGATCACAACCAGAAACAGATGATTTAATTGTCGTTTCTGTCTCAGCAGTCACACCAGACGTACTTGAGCTACCATGTGTACCAATGTCCCTCAACTTTGACATGCTCCAGGTGTGTCCATATAAACCATCATCTGGCATAACATGTGTTACTTCGATCTCTCCCTCGAGCATTTTGACAGCCTCTGACATGGCTGGCCTTACGGAAGGAGATGAGTTTGTACAAACAAGAGCAACTTTGATCATCCTTATTGCTTCTTTGCTATTGAAGTCACCTTCGAGGACTGGATCAACGATCTCTCTTACGTCCCCTGTCTGTTGTAGCGTTAACGCCTAATATTTGATGTGAAAATGGATTTTGGTAAACTTATCCAACTTACTAAATACAAATCAAATGGGCTAAAGAGATAGAAAAGTTCCATGGTTACCCAGTTGATAAGCGAAACATGATCAACACTACCCTTCAGTTTCGTATTGCTCTTCCCACTAACAATTTCCATTGCCACAACCCCGAAGCTATACACATCTGCTTTCTCTGTCAGTTGACCCCACAATGCATATTCCGGAGCCATATATCCGCTACAGCGTTACAGAACCAATAAAGAGATATGTTTTGACCATGGTTTGTTTTGTTTGGTTTATTTGATGTTCTATACTTACATGGTTCCTACAATTTTTGTGCTAATGTGACTGTGTTCTGCTTCATGGAGTCTAGCCAAGCCAAAATCAGATATCTTTGCATTAAAGTCGGCATCTAAAAGCACATTAGTGGTTTTTATGTCACGGTGAACCATCCTGATCATCGATCCTTCATGAAGGAATTCAAGCCCTCTTGCGATTCCTACACAAATTCTTTGTCTAGTTGCCCACTCCAATTTTGGAGTGCTCTTTCCTGGAATTAAAAATAGTAGACCATATAAAAATTAAAAATTATACATGTGGTAACATATATGTATGAATGACTATTATTTACCATAAAGAGCAAGAGCAAGGGAGTTATTTTCCATGTATTCATACACAAGCAACAGTTCATTCTTCTCCACACAGCATCCGTAAAGCTTGACAAGGTTTGGATGATTCAGACCTGAAATCATTCCTATCTCATTCACAAACTCTCGGTTTCCTTGGCATGACGTGGCAGAAAGCTGCTTGACTGCTATGATAGTTCCATCCAATAGCTCTCCCTGCATTATGTTAGTTTGTCATAGCAGAAATAAAATAAAACGGACATGTTTGAGAAGAGTTTGTCATTTGTCTAAAGCATACCTTAAATACTGATCCGAAACCTCCTTCTCCAAGTTTGTTGGCTTCATCAAAATTGTTTGTTGCAACTTGCAGTTGCCTCCAAGTAAAGCAAACAGTTTGGAGACCTTGGGCTCTCAGCTCTATTTGAGCAGGTGCACAACAGAAAATCATTAATAATGCAAAAACTAATTGGTCATGTTTCATTGATGGATTCGTTCATACACTGTGAATTCTTATACCTTGTTCTCTTGTGTTGGTGTCTCCTCCACATCTTCTCGAAGCATATATTCCCAAAGCTAAGACAACAGTTATTACCAAGGCACCCATTGCCCCCAAAACTAGGGAATAGTTAATGTGATGTTTAATTTTCTTCGCTGCAATTGAGACAGTAAAAATGTAAATAAATAATTATATATTTAGATATAAACTAAATTACATAAAATATATTTTAAAAGGTTTTTCTGTTTTGTTTTTTTGGACCTCCGCAATGTGGCTCCTGACCTGAAATTTTGAAAGGCGAAAATTCTCAGTGGGTTGCAGTAACGAGTGTCAGGAAGATGAATCATAAAAGTGAAACCTTTTTGTGAATAGCCGGCAGATTAAACTAAATGACCTTTTTTTGTAACACTTTTTATTTTCTTGTAACACACGGTAATGAAAACAAGACCACTAGAGAGAAAATTTATTAAAACAAACACCAATGTTATATTCTTTTTTAATTATGCCGATAATATGTTATTCGCACTTACTTGTACATGTACTTATAAGTCTCAAAATTCAATTTTCTAGTTTGACCTAGAATGAGTACTTTTGGTCTAAACCTAGAATGAGTTTTGAAAACCAAATAGATCATTACTGTCAATCCGAAAACCCCTACACAGCCACAAATCAACCTTGATAGAAAGCCTATTAATCCACGATAATGTTCCTTTATTGACACACCGATATTTACTATTAGAAAAAAAATCTGAAGTTTTGGCCATTGAGGGCGAAACAACTCGAAATGAGATAGACATGAAAGCCAAGCGATAAAGAGTAAGGTTGCTGAGGCAAGTCGTAGACTTGAGCTTTAATAATTTAGCGTTTCAAAAAAAAAAAACGAGCAGCTAAGAATGGTACTTACTGTGACACAAGGAGATTGCAGAGATAAGGGGACCATAATTTCCTCTGCTGGGAATGAGGGTTGTTCCTTTCCCCGCCCAATACAACCGAATCTCTAACATACGATCGGTCACATTAACTTTCTTTTCTATCATAATAGGCTTCAGAGTCCCCTTAGCTTCCTCTTTGATATTAAAATCCCTCAAGAATAATTCTCCCTAAAAGGGGAGAGAAAGGACAAAAAGGAAAAGAGCTTTAACCCTTCCATGGAAATCAACTTCAATTTTTCATGCAACTAGTTTTCGAGAAAGTATTCAATACATACTAGATACTTGCTTTACCTGAACATAGACATCAAATATGCGTCTACCAACAGAACTGTATGGTTCTTTATCTGAAAACTGAATCTCCATAAAATGGAGTTTCACATTGTAGACCCCATTTTCTAAGCAGTACGCGAAATAAGTAAGAGAGAGAGCAGATCGACGTGCAGTCTTATAAAGATCAGGGTAGTCTCCCGATGGTGTTAACTCAGTTGAAATGGTGAAAATATCATCATTGCTACTATCATCGATAAAGTCGCCTGTGTTACTGATTCCCCAATCTTCCCAGTGCTGATATGTTGCGGCATTGGTTGTACTGTTATCAGCTTGATAAGTGATCGTACCAAAAGAGTTTTTCATATCCATACTTCCTCCACCACAATTTATATGTAGTGATCGCTTATCTACAATCCATATCAATTATAACCATCATTAGTTAAAAAGAGAGGCGTCTGATTTCTTAATGTTAAAGAACTAGGAAACGGACAAAAACGTGTACGTAAAGATATTAAATGCATGTTATAGATAAGTTAGCCCGCTTGATATGCACTTACAAGTCTTGCAGTTGACTGCAGCCTCACATGGAAGAAGTCCAGTTCTGTACGACAAAAACATTTATTTGTCGTATACAATAACAAGAAAAAACAGAGCCTACTTACAAATTCTTCAAATAGGAGCTCCTGTATGTGTTGATGTTGCTGATTCAACAGAAAGCGAGAACAAAACGTTTAAAATAAACATGCTACAAACAAATAGATAGAAGACGTATTCTACGGTCTACCTATGCTCGTACCTCTTCTGACAGCGAGGCGACCATGATAAATTGTTATAAGAGAGATCACTGTGAAGATTTGCAAAAGTATAGAAGCCAACAAGAAGATTAATAATGACATGACAGTGAATTTCTCAAGCCGTACAAACAAGTGAAGGCCTGAAACGTACATATTTAATTTGCTATTGAGTAAAGCACCCGGTTGAATGTCTCCAGAAAGCATATTGCCAGTCAAATAGCTGAAAGAATACGTCGAATAGTAAATTATACATAATTGTCACATTAAGATGCTCAACAGAGATTATAGTACGTACGTGTATCTTGGTGCGTTTTCTACTCCTTGAACTCCACCAGTCAAGCTGTTAAATGATAAATCACTGCAGTAGAAAGGGTGCAAAAATTGAACCAACTTCTTTTGTTAGGAAGGTAATTACGTATAAATTTGCTTATATAAGTTATAACTTCTGCAAAAGTTTATAATAGATACTCTCATACTCTTATATCATTCGTCTCCTAGACAGGACCGAAAAAATAGGGATCATAGATAATTTATAAACAAAAAATAATAAAACTTTGTTTTTAGTAATTTGGAGATCTTATAAAATATTGGAGTTCAATATCAATATTACATACAACTATACTCCAGACCGGCTCCACTTTGCCAGCAGGTTATCATATTTCTCTCTACCATGTTTTTTTTTGAGAAATTCTCTCTACCATGTATTCTCATGTAACTCCACGGCTCCACATGAGACCATGAGAATCCACATCGATCAACAAATCAACTAATATACGATCTATTAATAGAGAACTAGATTTTAACCCGCGCTTGAAAAACGCGAAAATTTTTTATGATTAAAAATTTATATAATTGGGCTTTGTCTTAATTTAAAGAATATTTTGATATAAAATCAGTTCACCAAAATTTGTGGTGATGATTGTTTTTCATTAGTTTTTAGTTTTAATTTTTTATTTTTAGATTTTAGTTTTTTGGTTTTTAGTTTTTAAGTTTCTACTTTTCATTTTAAGTTTTTGGTTTGAGTTTTTAATTTTTAAACCCGCTGAGTTAGTTTGAACTAATATTACCAACAAACAAATCTCAAATAATCGAACATCTAATTTAAAACTGAAAAGATGATAACAAATTTTTTTTAAAAAATGAAATAGTTTATTTTGTAAATAAACAAAGCAAAAAAATATAACATGTGTTTTCAGCTTTTGGTTTTGGATTTTAGTTTTTAGATTTGGTTTTTGGTTTTGCTTTACATTTTTTTAATTAGTAAATTATTTAAGAAAAATAAAACAATGAATTATATAAAAGTTACCATTGAATTTATCAAAACAAAGTGATTGTTATTTAAAATAAAAAAATATATTAACATGTTTTAAAGTATATGATTTAAATGAATGATTAATAATAGATAATTTTGTTTTGTTAAAAAATATTAAATATCTTTTGGGTCTAAAAATAATAATTGATTTTTTGATCTTTTAAGGTGAAAAGTTTATTCAATGTTTTTGGAGTTTTTTTCTTAATACGAAGCCCAAAAACCAAACTATATAATTTGTTCAAAAACCAAAAGTAAGCCCAAGACTATATTCCATAAATAATCACTGGTTTAATTTAAGTATAATTAGTAGATTTCCATATTCAATATTTTGATGATATATACTTTTTTAGAACATTCCATATTTGTAGGAGAAAATATGTGTTTTCGGTATACACAAAGATACCTGCCGTATTTTGAAGGTCGTTTACATTAAGGTCGTCTCTTTACATTAATTGTGTTGGTTTAATTTAAGTAATACGGTTCAAATAATTATATGACTTATATTATTTGTAACATTCTAGAAAGGGTCCAAATTTAAATGACAACTTGTATCAGTAGATAAAAAGAATGACTCTATTTTAATAGAGTAGATTTTAATAGAGTAGAAGTACACATTTAATCTAACATGCATTTACATTCATGTGTTATTTACATTAATTGTCACAAATATTAAAACTACTAGGATAAAACCCGCGCCTTGCGCGGGATGAAACTATTATTTTATTATGTTTTAGAAAATGAAACAATTAATTCGGTTTCATTCGGATTAGAGGTGTTTAATCCGGATATCGGGTTTCGGTACGGCTCGATTTTTTGGTATTTCGATTTTTTAAATATAACTACTATTCTAAATCTATATGTACTTCAGTTTGATTTGGTATATATATACCATTGATTTTCAGTTTATTTAATTTTCTACCAAAAAACATAATTATTTAGTTTGAGATCATATTATATATTATACAAATATATAATATGATCATATTTAGAGTCATATTGTCACAGAGTCAGTTATTAAAAAAATATTGTATATTTAAATAAAAGAATAAAAAACAAAAAGGCTTATATCATCTAATAAAATGATCAAATCTAAAATTAATATCAAAACACTTAATTTTGAAAAAAAAAAAAAAAAAACAAAACAGAAGCATGAAAGAAAATTTTTTTTATTCTTCCATATTTAGTGTTCATCAAACCAATATGTCTTTGATTGAACACAACTCTGTTTGTTTAAAGATAAAAAAAAAAAGTTGTAAAGAATTTCAACTAATTGTTGTCCATCAAATAAATAATCTTTTCAATTTAGTTACTGTTAAAAAAACAAAAAGATCAAAATAAGAAGTCTCAGTTGTAATAAATTGTTAGTTATTTACAAATTATAATTATTGTTCAACTCATATAACAAATAGATATTCATGTGTCGTTATAAATATATACATATTTACGTGTATCAGTTTAATCGGTTATAAATCAAACCATATCCAAATCCTATGGTTTTTATAAAATCACATCCATTCGGTTTGTATGATATATACCAAAAATAACCATATTATCGATTGTTTAATATCTTTTAAAAATATAAAATTAGAAAAAAAGAACTAAGATATTTAAATCATTGATAACAAAAATTTTCAATGTGAAAAATTTAATAAGTTTATAATTTATAAATGTTCTTGAAAATTTATTGAAATTTTTGAAATAAAAATATTTATGTAATCTTATATGGTATATAGTTTATTATGTATATATATTTGTTTTATTCTTGAATGATACTTTTTACTTATATGGTTTTAAAATCATGTATATCTTTTTATAATAAAAATGTTAAACTATTGATCATTAATTTTTAACATAATAATTTTAATAGTTTTAGTTATATGTTCTCGTTTTTTTAAATTCAAAATATAACCTATAGGAAAAAATATAAAGTTTAATTTTATAACTAATTTGATTGTTTAATTTATTTTAAGAATATAAAATTAAAGAAAAATGATAGAGGATATATAAACTGTAAATATTTATTATAGAATATTAATGGTAATTCCGTAGGTTTTATTTATGGAAAGAAAATAAAATTGTAATTATATCTAGGGAAACAATCATAAATGCTTCTATCATAAATGTCATATCATATCATCATATCATATATATTAGTCATTTATGGTAATTTCGTATGTTTTATTTATGGAAATAAAATAAAATAGTAATTATATCTAGGGAAACAATCATAAATGATTCTATCATAAATGTCATATCATATCATCATATCATATAATTTGACCAACGAATGTATATAACGACATATAAAAATCGAATGTGGACCTACTTATTTATCAATTGAATGTAATTGACTACCTAATTGAATGACACATAAGCATTTGAGTCTTTTTTAATTATTACAAAATTGAGGTTATAATTTTTCAAATGTTTCTCCTTTAATATATAAGGGATTCCTATAGACGTTATTATTGATATTTTGGTCATTTTGCTACCATATTAGTTACCATTAATTTCATTCACCATTAATTTATAAGAAAATCTTATTAATCTAGGTTTAGATCCACTTAATGGGCGGAAATCATATCATGTATACAAATTATGTTTACACATAATTAATATTTCATGTTTATTTAAATATTATGAAATAATAAATATGTTGGATAATTGACAGTCGAGAAATTATTATGTATATAATTAAAATTAAATTAAGCACATAAATCAAAACAATCATTTTATAATTTATATACAATTAAATTTAGATGATATTAACATAGATATATAGTATATTTATAATATAAATATTTATGATTTAGTTAACATTTGTATATTTTCTGTAACAAAAACTTTAAACAATAAATCATAATATTTTCAAAGTGAGATTTTTAATAATTTTAGTAATTTATAATCGTTTAAAATTTAATGTAATTTTCGCAATTAAATTATTAAGGTCTTAATACATTTTGAATGCAAATTTTGAAATTAACATATGAATGTAATTTTTATATGATATATAGATTAATTTAAACGATATATATATATATATGACATCAATTAAATGAGATTTCAGATTCATATAATTTTATGATAACTTGTATTTTGTTATAACAAAAAAAAATTAAAATTTGATTACAAAACTTTCAATCTGGAATTTTTAACAACTTTAGTAGTTATAATTGTTTTTAAAAATTCAGTATATAGCATATAAGACAAAATCTAAATTTTTATTATATAATTAATATGATTGTTTAATTTATTTTAATAATATAAAGTTAAACGAAAATTATAGAGGATACACAAATCATTATCAAATCTTAATTATTCAAAATCATTAAATTTCATATATATGTTAATCATATTAGATAATTGTGTAGTTTCATTATACAAATTATTGTTACATTAATAATTAATTAATGATTATCTTAAAGAAAAATATAGTATATGTTTAGATAAATCAATCTATTTTTCTAAGAAACATAAGAATTAATATGGCGATGACACATGTAATATCTCTAAATTTCTAATGTTTTTCAAATAATATATAAAGAATTGTATATACGATTGTTTGACATTAACCGGCTTTCACATAACAAATAGTGTTAAGTTTTGCTAATGCAGTGAGCAAATACGCTAAAATTGAACATAGGGATCAAAACTTTTATTATCCACTTTTGTAATTTGAATTACCGAAATGATATTTTGGGAGTAACAAATACAAAAAATTCCAACATCACTTATAGACTTTTGAACACGTATTAATACTTAAATTAAAAAATAATATATAAGCAAACTATATAAATATTGCAAGAATACTGATAAACATGATTAATATTTATCGAAAAAGTAAATTAGAGTAACTTATTTTAATCTATTGTAAATTAAGTGTGAAAAAGGTACAAAGGTAATAGTGTTATAGAATTAAACAATGCAAGCATAAAATTTTTTGGTTATATAAACCAAATATACACAACTGTAAAGATGATAAATTATCTGCACGCATATTTTAATATATATTATATTATTATTATTATATATATATATATATATACATATAGTTTAGTAAAACTTTATACACATCCAGGCTTACACAACTTCTGAGCGGGTATACGACCGAGTATTTAAATGAGCAATCATTTTGTAAAGTTTTAATCTTACAAAGTATTCTTATAAATGTTTAATAGCAAAGAAACTTACAGGGTCTTTAGGCTTTCAATATTCCATATGTAAGAAGGAATTGGACCGGACAAAGTCACATTCCTCAAAATCCTGGAACATGGAGAGAAACTTAAGTACGGCATCCTTATCTGACGCCAAGCCTCCAGATGGAACATTAGTAATGAATGGAAGAAACATACAAGTGTTTGATGGATTTGCTAGATATATCCGGGATAGTGTTTATCCCAGTCGTATCACTAATCCTCCTGCATACATATATTATGATTAAAACATCAGCTTTATTTCGATGACTATTATGTTATCTATTGAAACTAATTCATTACAGTTCAATAAGAAATTGTAGACCAGCCACTGCATCGGGAATAGGTCCTTTTAGGCCACTTGCGTATAAATCACTGTTGACCACAACTGACACATGTTACTGTCCACAAATATAAACTATAAAGAGAAATTACATATAGTTAGTGATGAAGGACAAGCGTACATCCTTTCAAGCTGAGTCCAGTTACCAATGTATCCTGGTATGATTCCAGTGAAGTTATTGTCACTTAACTTACTGCATGTACAAAAAAAAAACTTACTGCATAATGATAACATACAAATCGTTTGCTTAAAAGATCTTAAAATACACTCTATATTGTTTTTTTTTTTAAAAAAGACTCTATATTTAATAGTTTGTAAAACTTTATATTTAAAATTTTGGTGTTTTTTTTTCAAAAAGCAAAATTTCAAACTTAAATGTAAAATGATTTATATTTATACTATAGTCTTTATATTTTTCATAACTAATTCAAATTTATTAAAAATTTATAAATAACTAGCATATATATAAAAGATATTACAAAATATTAATTGATAAAATTATACTAAAATTATAAATTATAAATCAAAATATATAATTAATTATTAAACTACAAACAAAAGTACCATATTAAGTCTTGTCATATTGTTTTGTCTAGTTTTAGTTTTAAGATAGTTTAAATCTTATCTTAATGCTCTTTAAGAAAAATCATGTGTAAACTTTAAATTTATAAAAATTTAAAAATTTTATGATGTAAGAAATTTTAAAGACTAAAACAATAACAGCAAAATATCTAAGTTAATCACTGTGATGGGTAATTGTAAGAAGCAAAATACAAATAAAATATAAAACTGCCTATTTAAAGTTTGAGTAATGACACTCTATATTTAAAACATGTTAGCTAATTCTCTGGCAAAGAACGGCGTGACGCCCCTGCAACTTTGGTCTAGACGTTATAATATATGAATTTATTTGGTGTTCAAAAATAAATAGCGACATTCTATATTTAAAGTTTCATTACTCAAAATTTTAAATTTGAAGTTTTAGAAATCTTTTTTAGAGAGTAAAAAAATTCATATTTAAAGTTATAGAGTATTTTTTGAAGATGCTCTTAGTAAACTTAACTAGTTTATAGCTTTTTCTATGTGTCCAATGTATGTCGACCATTGCTTTGAAACATTTGAATTTTTCCAATACACCTTTTAAAGTTAGTTATCGCCCGTAAACACTCTTTAAATTAATATTAATAATATTTAAACTATAACAATTTATTAATTTTTAGATAGGAAAAATTGATAAAATAACCCTCAACTTTCGAAAATAAGCCAAAAAAATCTCGAACTCACAAACACACCATTTTAACCTTCAACTTTTAGTCAAACATGAATAAATCTCATACATTCGTTGACCAAGCCATTTTAATCTCCTCAAAATTTAACCGTTTAGTTCGGTTAGTTATATTTAACGGTTGACTTTTAATGAGCTTAAAATGGTTTGGTCAATGAAAATATGAATTTTTTTTATTTTAATTTAAAAGTTGAAGATTAAAATTGTTCACTTAAACATATCTTAACTAAAAATTGCTATTTTTGTTTTATTTTTTTCAACAAAAATTGTAGTTTATTATATCGATTAGAATGACAAACTTAATAAAATATGTTCAAATAAGCTTAGTTATAATATTTTTAAATGAGTTAAAAACAAAAAAATTGCTTAGTAACAAAATTTGATTAAAAATACAATTATACTGTAAATTCAGATATAAAATAAAATAATTAAGTGCTTATGTTCAAAAAAAGTTTAAGAATAAAAACATAAAAGTAAAAGGTAAAACTCTAAACACATTGTTGTTAAAAGTATAATCACAAATACTCAATAGAGGATGAAACAAGTGAAAATGAGGAAGTCAAGTGCGTGAAAGGGATTTCCGGCAGCTGATGTATATAATTTTTTTGTTTTTAATTTATTTTTAAATATTATATTTAAATTTATTTGAAAATATTTTATTAAGTTAGTGATTACAATCGATATGAAAAATTATATTTTTTCCTGTCAGAAAAAAGAAATTTTAGTTAAGATATTTTTAAGTAAGCAATTTTAATCTTTAATTTTTAAATTATGATAAAAAATCTCATATTTTCGTTGACCAAGCCATTTTAGGCTCATTAAAAGTCAACCGTTAAATATAAATGACGGAACTAAATGGTTGAATTTTGACGAGATAAAAATGTCTTGGTCAACGAAAATATATGATTTATTCGTGTTTGACTAGAAGTTGAAGATTAAAATGGCTTGTTTGTGAATTGGAGATTCTTTTGACTTATTTTCGAAAGTTGAAGGTCGTTATTTTGTCAATTTTCCCTAAGAATATTAACATTCATTAGTCAATAACTATAAAATTTTAAAATTCTAACAATCATTATAAATGTAGTCCCGACTAACATCCCCTAAAATGTTTTTATGTTATATATATATATATATATATATATATTATATACTATTTACAAATTTTGTTTCTAAAATTTTCATATTATGTTAATAAACTTGGGACTGTACTTTTTAATTTATCAAATATTAGTTATTAGATTATATCTCGTATGGGAATCTAAGAAAAGGTGTGTTAAAATTCTTTAGAAATTAAGAATTAAAATGTTCTATCTTTAAAATAAAAATCCCACACTTATTTTTTTTTCTCACAAAGTAGCACACAAAAAGAAAAATCCGCCAAATATCCAACCTAACTCTACATAAATACTCCACTAATCACTAAACCCTAAGTTCCAATAAAAACTATATATTTACTATGTAAGTAACTATTTACATACTTTTTGAAAGTATTTTTAGTTTTTTAATCTATAAATAAAGGTATTTTATAGCAAAAAAATATATTTTAATTGCGTTCTAAATTGTTAAATTGCCATTGTACTTGTTACGAAAAATGTTACTGTATAGTAGTCTTATCCTTAAATAATTCCAGATAATTAAACAATAAAAATACCATTGCTTATTTTATTATTATATTAGAATTTACCATTGCTTATTTTAATATTAAGTTTTTAATATGTAGTTTTGCATTTGAAAAAAGTAACTATTTTAAAAGAAGTTTGTATAGAGTCAGATAGTTTCAGGACTATCTATCCAGAGATTTGATTGAGCTTTTCATAATTCTCAAGAAAATTCATGGTAAGAATCAACAAAGCATATATAAAGTTAAGGAAAATTGTCATCATCAATCAGTATAGGTGCCGGTAAATTGTAGTCATCTCATCTACTGATCATCTTAAAGTTAAAAAGGAATATATTCGAACCTTTCATTGCTATATATCAACAACTTACACTTGTTTAAGGTTTACAAGTTTAGCCAGTGTGCTAGGAAGGGTTCCTGTAAATTGATTGGACGCAAGTTCCCTGCAAAACCCAATTTCGCATAAGATCAAAACTGTACTTTTCAAGCTAAAACCAAAGTTTCTTCGTGGTGTGAACAAATGCTTCAGGGTCTTACAATCCTGTTAGGCTGGTCAAGTTACCAAGCTCATCAGGAATGGTGCCCGAGAACTGGTTTGCTTCAACTGATCTAAAAATTCATTATGTTAGGTGTAGCCAAAACTAAAGGACACACCAAACTGGTATATTCATTAACTACAGTCCACAGATCGAGACGTACATGTATGTAAGATTCTTGAAGTATTGTAATCCAGCTGGTAAATTCCCCGACAAACGATTTGCACCGACAGAACTGCGTACAAAAAAAAAACTCAAAGTTACTAGCACATCAAGAAGATGAAGTTTAGGAGAAAGAGGGAGACAGAATGCTAACATTCTAGTGAGGTATGGCAGTGAAGCCCACTCCATTGGGATTGAGCCCGAAAGGTAATTTCGGCACAAGTCTCTGCAAAGATGAGCAAAAAACTAACAATGAGATTTGCTCTGACTGCTACATGTTCTTTTATTTACCCCTCTTCAGGTCTTTTTAAGAACTCTTTGAAAGTAAGCCAATTTGACATCTTTGAAGCTTCTCAAGAGGCAAAGACACATTTATCCAAAACCAAAGAACTGAACTAAACCAAACAGAAATGAGGTTGCATTGGATTTTGGATCCTACAAATTACCCAAACGGGTCTTATATCTCTCGAACCGTAACCAAACCCGAAAACGAACTGAAACTAAACCAGAACATAACCAAACTAGGACCAAATAGATACCTAAATTTTTATAATATAATTTATATACTAATATATATTAACTTTATTTAGTTTTAAAATAATTAAATAATTTAAATATTATTTATAAACTGATATTCTCAAAAAACAATTACCATTATGCTTTTATCTGAAATATTTAAAATTATTTGAATTATCCAAAATTTTATCCAAAACTTTGAAAATTCTGATATTTAATCCAAAACCTGAATTTTCTGATTTTTAAACTCCAAATAACCAAAAATAGCAGAACTGAACCCGAACCAAATAGGATCTGAAATGATCTCGAATATAAGACGGTTCTTAATTTTGTTACCTAAATTGAAAACCAAAAAAAAAAAACCAAATTTTCTAAATATCTGAACGGATCATACACCTCAATAACTGAAGAACCGAAAAACCGAACTGGAACCAGAACCAAATGCCCATGGCTAAATGCAGAATTGTCGATTCGAACTCATTCCAAAAGAACAGGTTTGCAAACTAGGGCTAGGCACTGCAGGTATCGATCGGTTCGTTTCGGTTCGGATATTTCAGTTATTGGGTAGCTTGGGTAGGGTGCTAAAGGATCCATTTACTACGTGGTTTATTTTCAGTTAGGTTAGGATAGTAAAACTAGGAACCGTAAACTACCCAGAAAAAATTGGCTCTCATCTGGTTTTGGTACGGTTATTTTGGGTAGTTCGGGTTAAATAGTGTGTATTTTAGGTAAAGTATCAAATTATTATGATATTCGAATAAAAATCTTGAATAGTTCGGATAAAAATACCTGAATATTTTTGGGTAGTTTGGATATTTCCTTATAATTTCCTTCAACTACTTTCGGATACTTTTATTAGATTTTAATATATATATATATAGTTATATTATATGATATATAATTAGTACGTATTTTTATATATTTGGGGTACTGTTCGGTTATTTTTGACTACATATATAGGAATCATTAGGATATTTAAAGGTTTTGGGTATTCGGTTCGGTTTTGTTTTGATTTTTTTTTCCCACGCCTATTGCAAACTCCGTCTGAGTTATATTCCCTTATTGTTAATCTTTACATTGATTTTTCTTTGTGTTACATAAAAGGTGTACATAAATCCACATAAGACAGGTAGATATGTCGGATGTTATATCATCAATGTAATATTTCTTATAGTTTATAATGCATAATTAACCAGTGTTAAAAAAATATGTTACTTCTTTTGAATTCTTCTATAGTTTCCATTTTTATATTGATTTATAGTTAATATTTTTCCTTTTTTATAATTCATATTTTATAGTTTTTACATATATTTTCAGTTATTATTTTTATTTTGTTGTCTAATCTCTAGTTTTGTATAGTTTTTAGTTTTAGTTTTAGTGTCAGTATTTTATTTTTATCTGTATATTTACTTATATCCCAATAGTTCATTTTTTTTTTTGAATTATACATGGATATTATGGCCTCACAAAAGTGTTCCAGACTAGTCACGTGTTGCTATATGTCGGTCGATTGTCTCCAGCAATACCGAAATGTTAATTCTCCAATGGCCAGGACTCAAACTCTGGTGGCTTCAACATATTGGGTTTTTTTTAATCATCACTAGACCACAAGCACTGATTAATAGTTCATTTTTATCCGTATATATAATAGTTCATTTTTATTTGTATACGTACGCATGTTATTATCTAAATTAACAATTACAGATAACAAATCAGGTAAATTTAGTTCGGGCTTATATGTCACGTTGAATGCATCTTACCAATTTAAAGATTTAATTTATCATTGATTTGTTATATAAATATAAAACTTACATCTCCTGGAGGTATTGAAGCTTGGCCAACTGGGGTGGAAGTCTCCCTTGAAGACTAAGGGTCTTTAGCCCTCTGAAATTAAAAATTGAGAAATGTGTAGATATCTAAAGAAGAGAAAAGAGAGCAATTTATAATACTTACATTTTTATAATATGACATGTCCTGTTGAAGTTGAAGCTACAATCACAAAAAATCCTATTTTCTTTCTTGACAGTCGAAACAACAGCAGGCAGATCTCCTTGTATAACTAGAGGTCTTGAGAGGCAGTCTCCATCACTTAGGTTAAATGTCTTGAAACCAAGTGTAAAAGCTATCTCCTTTAGCGCATTCACTGCATGAATATAAGCAAAAAGATCGATTTTATATAGATGTGATAATTTTAACTGTAGTTTCATAAGAATTTTATAAAACTGTGATTCTTGTGCTACATTCATCTGGATGAAGAACCGGTGAAGAAGTCAATGTTGTTAGAGTCGCAAGGAAGCTTGTGATGATTATGAAGAATTGAAGAAAACGCATCAAGACGACGATTGGCATTATTAAAATTTATAGTGACTCTTGTATGGTATGTATTTGGTTGATCACAAAGTTATCATCTGCTAGCTATTCTTATATAAAGAAATAATGCCTGACATATTTTGTTAGGGTTCCCTTGGGTCATCGATGACCAAAGAATAAAGATATTGACCAAAAGAAATGTTGATGTCAAGGTTATGGTGGTGATTAGACACGTTCATGAATGCCTGATGTTTTATGTCTCGTTATTTGTTTGGTTGATTCCCTTTGTTAGCTCAAATAACAATGTGGACGAAGATGAACATTTAAGAGCATCAGCATCATATGAGTATCTTATACTCCCTCTGTTTCATTATAAGTGTCACTCTACAGCTATCACACGGATTAAAGAAATAATTAATTTTACATATTTCCTATATAAAAACACAGTTACCCATACACCTAACCATATTTTAACCAGTAGAAAAACAAATATAATTACATAATAAAATTAATAAATTTTGCATTGAAAATCGAAAACGACACTTATTTTGTAACGCAAAAAATTCTCTACAACGACACTTAATATGAAACGGAGGGAGTAACATTTTCTTATGCATTTATATTAATATTTTAACAGAGTTTTTTTTTTATTTAAAGGGAAGATTACTCAAATAACACTAATCTTTATTTTTATTATTAGATTAACAGTATTTTTTTATTTACAAAACTGTTTTCTGTACCCAAATTGTCCTCTTATCCTTTGTTAACAAACAAAAATATTTACCAAAAAACCATTAACATTTACCAAAAAACCCAAAAAAATATTTTTTATGCAAAAAAATTATTTTCAAAATTGATAAGAAAGTATGTCGTTAAAAACTTGTGATACATGATGACATATTTATTCATTTCTGACAAATTTATTTATTTCCGCATATTTACCTTGACAGACTTAGTATTGTTATAGACTTTTAAAAATGATATTATTAGATAAATAAATATATTATACTAAATTAGTTTTGAAACTGTATATAATATACTTCATATTATAAAGTATTAGGGAACTTGATAATGCTATACCAATTAAATCATGTGACACTCCATTTATTTTCTATCACTCGAACACTGAAAAGTGAAAAGATATATGAACCGGACCCATTAAATTCTAAATTTTGATCTACAGTTTTAATTACAATTGTTTCTGATTCTACGTATAGATAATTATATAAAAACTCCAAAATTCTAAATACATATAAAAACAATTATATGTAATTTTTTTAAATTTGTCAATACTAAAATTTTATATTTTAATTACATACACTCGCTTTGCACAAAACACAGGTCTTATCCTAATTTATTATTAATACATTCACAAATGGCTAAAATGGAAACCGCAGCAGGAGGGCTAGAATTAAAACTAGCTAAATCACATAATCAGGTATTAAGCGCATCGTAATTCCAACTTTGTTATTTGGCCATTAAAAATCTTCCAATCTTTTACTGATTTATTTAAATCTGAAATAATTTTGAAACTTTCAACTAATAAATGTATACCTAACAACTAGAAGCATAAATAAATAAAGCATTTTCCAAATTGATTGAACAATAATATGGCTTCGTAGGAAGGGTCAAAGCCAATAATAAAACACAAAATCACATCAGTATAGATAGATATACACACCACTCGCTCTTATACTATGAAGAAAGCATTTAACCAAATGTTTCCCAAGACGAAGATTCAAAGTAAACACACTCTCCTAACTGTAGATGACGAAGCATTTAATGTTTCCCAAGACGAAGATTCAAAGTAAACACACTCTCTTAACTGTAGATGACGGGGAAATCTCTGGACTGTGGGTGACTGGACATTCTCATGAGTCATGACTTATGTGACCTGACACTCGCCTAACTGTATGTGATCAGCACTCTCCCGACTATATGAACCCTATGGTATGGGAGTGAGGGGTATGTGTGAGTATGAGACTAGGACCATGGTTTGCTTTTTGGGTAGGTGTCTTATACCATTTCCAATGAAGGGTTCTTACGGCGGGATTCTTATATTCCATTAACATCGTCGTAAGAACTTTTCATTGGAGGTGTTTTTAGATGTCGTGTTTGTTACATCTAATATGTTAAAACTGAAATACAAGTTAAATATAACCTTTAATCTTCCTCTATAATTACAAATGAAGGCCATTCTATTTTTAATTAACAAATAAAATTTTTAAAAATAATATATAGAAATATCCATAAATATCCCAAGTGAAATTCCTTAATATTTAACTATTACATCAATTTAAAAGATTGCAATCTTTTTGATTTCCTAAACTAAAATATAAAATATAAACGCGAAATCCTAAAATTCTATTAGAGGTTAAATATGCTAAATACATACATAATATTTTCACTAGACCATTTCATTAGAGTATTTGAGCAATTGTTTTGATTGCTATGGCTTTTTGTACGTGTTTAGTAAATACAGACATAATTTATTCTTTTATTTGTTAATTTCATTTTATCAGAAATATTTAACGTGTGTAAGTTAAGATTATCGAAAATGTATAGTGATTCTGGTTGGATAAAACAACTAAATACAGAACTTAGTATTATTTAGTGGATGTGTTTTCATATAATAGCAATTAAAATGTTCTTTCAGTTACTTATATCATGATATTATATGGAGTATGTAGTTTCTCAATTAGTAGCTTAAATTGATATTTTTTTAGTGTTTTAAAAGATGTATGTTTATGTGTTTTAAAAAAGTACTTCTGAAATACAAAAATCCATGGAAAAAGTATATAGTAAAATCAAAATCATATGTAATTGTAAGTAATGTTTAATAATCTAAATACAAAAGTCCATACTAAATCACATGTAAATTTAACATATGTTTAATAATAAAAATACATATGTTTAATTATAAAGATAAAACATTAAAATTTAAAATGTAATAGTTACGTACAAATATTCAATTATTAATAATCTATTCCTTATAAGATTTCTAAATATATATAATTGAATGACAACTATACAACTTACGTTTTTAAAAATATTTATTTATTTGATTATTTTAAATAGTTAACATGCTAACACTATATACTACAATCATATAAAAAATACTGATCCATATTGTTGTTCATTTGCTTATATATGGAAGATTGGTTATTTCAAATGAAACAAAACTTTACTCAAATAAAAAACAAAAAAAATATATCATATTATATATTTTTAAATTCTGCTTCACTAGGATACAAGTTTACTAAAAGTTATGTTTATAGAAAACGAGATATACAAAATAAAAATTTAAGACAAGTAAATTATACTTACAAATGCATATTAAAATTATTATGTTTAGTAATGATTTTTATATGATTTTTGTTACTTGATTTATTATTATTCATGTAAAACATATATTAGTGTATACTAAATGAAAAAAAATATCCACACAAACGTGTGGTTAAATTCTAGTATTAGGTTAAATTTTATATATATATATATACATAGATAAAAAAAATATATATATATATATATATATATATATATATATATATATATATATATATTTGTAGTGTTATGCCTGAGTCCATGAATTTCTAATCTAATAGTCATAATCATTGAATATTGAGTGACTCACCTGTTACTTAACCTTGTTTGTTCTTCTTGTAGGTAAACATGATTAGTAAGGGTCTGACTAGTTACAACGCAGCGATTGCAGCTGCGGTTGCGGACGTTTGCGGATGCGGGAGATTGCGGTCTCAAACGTTAGTAAGAGATTTAGACGACTGGTTCAACGGTTAAAAATTGTTGCGTTTGCGGGATACTTATGACTGGTTTATTATTAAATACAACAGTGGTTTAGTAATATATTAACAATATTTATATTTCTATAATTATGAAAATATTAAAATAATATTTTCATAATAAATATTGATTAAAGGGCTTTTAGTAATAAAACTCCTCAACTAAAGATGGATCGTAAAAAAAACCGTCATCTAAAGATTTAGTGAAATAAACCCTCAACTTTAGTTCTGTTAATGTTTGTCACCCTCCGTCATGGGATTTTATTAGGAGGGTAACATACGTTAACATAACTAAAGTTGAAGTTTTATTCAACTAAATCTTTAGTTGAGGGCTTTTGTTAGGGTTTATCTTTAGTTGAGGGATTTTATTACTAAATGCGGTTAAATATTTTAAAATCTTTGTTATCATTTATTTATTATTTAAGAATCTTACAATTGATTTATAAATATTAAAAATAATTTATATTTTTATATATTTCTTTATCAATTTTTAACTTATTTATAAGGCTTAGTAAATATTTTAATATTTTTATAAACTACTAATAAGGTTTAATGATGATCTTATAAGCTTTTGTCTGCTATTTTTTATGATGGAATAATACATGATTTTTTTTCTATATTACGAAGTAAAGCAATAAAACTTTATAAAGAAGGAAATACATATAATTTTCTTATATTAATACTGTCAAATATCAAAGAATTAAGATTTCTGATATATAGTGGTTTTAATAGTTTTTAACATCCTTTTCTTATGCATATTAGTGTTTTGAGTTGCATTTAGGTGTCTAGATTGCATATATATGTTCATTTGTATGCATTAGGGGGCTGGAATGCACATTCTGAAAGTTTATGGCGAAAATCAAGAGTTAAATTACACATAATAGAAGTTTTGGGTCAGAAATGAAAGACCACGAGAATGCAGGGACCAATGTGCTAATTGAGAACATTCGCTTGGGTTAGATTGTAAAATCAAAGGTTACGGGCTGATTGAAGAGGACTAATCTGAAAGTTAAAAAGAAATTGGGCCATAATGAGAAGACCGGAAACTTGAGGACCTGTTTTGCAAATAATGGAAAATTCACCATTGGAGTTCTTCGATCTGCTTCTCGCCGGACCGGGTGTTGACGACGGCGAGTTGGCTTGGCCACCGTAGAGATGGTCTCGACGAGGAGGATGGAACGCGAGGATTAGAAGCTTGAACCAGAGCTCGACGAAGGACACGGCAGTGGAGAGGACACG